CCTAGGCGGTTGCATCTAGATCACCGCCCTAACCTTCTCTGGGTTGACCTCTATGCCCCGCTCCGTGACCATGTAACCTAGAAACTTCCTGGATCTCATCCCAAACTTACACTTCGTCGGGTTAAGATTCATCTTATACGTCATCAATGTCTCTAAGGTCTCCTTTAAGTGTATGATATGATGTCTTGCCTTCCAACTTTTCACCAACATATCATCCACATAAACTTCCATATTCCGTCCTAAATGCCCTTCAAACATCCTATCCACCATCCTTTGGTAGGTCGCCCTGGTGTTCTGCAATCCAAGAGGCATGACTACATAGCAATAGGGCCCTTTTGATGAACTAAACTCACTCGCTTCTGATCCTCTACTGGTAAAAGTATCTGATGGTATCCCTGTGAAGCATCCGTTATACTCAGTAGCTCACACCCTGCCGTTGAGTCTAATAGTTGGTATACGTGGCAAAGGGTAGAGTTCTTTTGGACATGCTTTTTCAAAATCCCAAAACTCCGTACACATACGCCATTTGTCCTCCGCATTATTCACCATGACCTGGTTCGAAAGCCACTCTGGGAACTGAATAGGCTTAATGTGCCCCACTTGTAGCAGCTTCTCTACCTCATTTTCAATGATAGCATCCAGCTCTGTCCCAAAATGCCTCTATTTTTGCATAATAGGCCGCATTCTAGTGTCTATATTCAACTTATGCTCAACCAGTGTAAATGCAAAAATATCCACATACATTTAGTAATTCGACAGTTCTACCTTGATGTTCTCCACCAACGCTTGTCTATCCTTGTCACCTTTCATGGCTCCCCTATGATTAAGTCAATTTTCATAAGCTCATCCTGAGGGATCATCTCGGTCTAACCTCCTTACCTTTTCCCGAGCTCTCCCATTGACATTTTCTTTTCTGACCCGTCTTCAGCACAGTTTGGTAATAAGTCCTAGCCAGTCCTTGATCCCCAATGATCTTGCCCACTAGGTCTCCCACTAGAACTTCATCTTCATGCAGTATGTTGACACTGCTGCCTGAAAAGAATTCAAGCTAGGCCGACCTAATATGACGTTGTAAGCAGAATCCGCCTTCATTATAAAAAATCTCACCATTTTGACCTTCCTTAGAGGAGGAGCCGTCAGAGCCATTGTCAAATGCACCTCTCCTAAAGGCATCACCTCTGCTCCACTGAAACCATATAAGAAAGTTTTGATAGGTGTGATCTCCACACTTAGGTCCATCTTCTTTAAACACTCATAGAAAATGATGTCCATCGAGCTTCCAGTATCAATGAGTATTCTCTCCACATCATATCTTGCAATTTCTGTCGTTACTACTAAAGCGTCATTATGGGGTACCATCATACCTTGCGAATCACTTGCGCCAATTTTCAACTCTGGCACATCATGAACTAGTTAGACCTCTGCTACACTCTTCCAACCACCCCTTAAGTTGGTTCGTCTAGCACTGCTAAAATCACCATCTGGCGGCCTAACTACGAACAAATGTCCTTTTGGCTACCCCGACCTCATTTTTTATCACCTGGCTCCTTATCTTCTTTCCTCTCCCTATCTTAAACAATAAACTCCTTCAGGAGACCTGCCCTTATCAGCATCTCAATCTCCTCCTTGAGCTCCTAGCAGTTGTTCGTCCAGTGCCCATAGCGCGGTGGTATCTACAGAAAGGGTCTCCTCGCACTGATACATGCCCCTTCCTCTTAGGTAGAGGTTTAGGCTTTCCAAACATGTTAGTATCTCGTCGTTTCTCCAATGTCTCATACACCTCACCCCTCAGTGACGTCAACGACGTGTAGTGCTCATACATAAACCCCATACGTCCCTTCTCATCATTTCTAGCATCCTTGCCTCCCGATGTCTTCTCCACTAGCCTATCCCTCTTCTCGTGCTTCTTTCCTCTAGCTCGATCGTTCACAAAAAAATCTGCCTCATTCTCCTCTGTGTTCATGTATTTGGTATACCTCTCTAGTAGTTCATCATACGACCTAACAGGTTTAGATTGGGAAGTGTTGGTGTTATATACTTAAGCTTTGCTTTAGTAGATATTCCACTTGTTATTCCTTGATGAATGAGAATTATGT